GGACATGACACCAGGTGCACCAAAAGTTCATCAATATTTCTGTGGAGAACACTGGGGTCTCTTATACCTTTGTTGTATTCTCCACGTTTCTTTTCAAGTTGTGAGATACCACAACAATCTGGGTGCTTCTTTCTTAAATGCTTGAGCACATTTGTTGTAGTAAAACTGCTGCCACATGCGTAACTCGCTTTACAATGTTGACACTCGAACTTGTATATACCTTGAACCACGTCATTTTTTTTCTTTTGTGTTGTCTTTTGCCAGTCTTTTGATCATATTCATATACATCCATTTCAGTGTATGTCTTGATTGTTTCTTCTTTCTCACCATCTTCTCCATTCGTTATTTGAACAACGACAAGTTTACAATTACTCCAAATTACTATGTGTTCAATTGATATTTCTTCAGACATTGTTTGTTATTTTATTTTATTTTTTATTTAAATATGATTATATTTAACTGCCACAATTGATTATTTGATTGTTTTTGACTTAAAACATTTTATTTGTAACATTTTGTGGTTTGTTTTTTGATTTGTTTTAAAAACAAAAAAAATAAACTCAAAATATTATTTGAAAACGACTTGATGTTTTGGTGTAAAAATACATTCAAAATAAAAAACAAAAGTTAACAATCAACCAAACAACAATTTGAAAATTACTTAATAACTTTCATACTCGAACAATTTTTTAAATAGAATGGGTGTTTTTTAAAGTTTGTAAATGACTTCTAAGTTTACTTAAAATTAACAATTACATTTAAATAATATATTAATAATACACAATAATAAACAATTTAATCCACAATATTATGTTAATGTGTTATTAAATTAAACAATAAATGTTTTATTGTAAATATTGTTATTCCAAAAGTAATAAATACTAAAAATGATCATTTTCGAATCATTTAATATTATTATAGTTTTCTTTTGATATAAATTATCGGTGTATTCGTTATAAAAATTAATTAATTGAATAAATAAAAATTATTAATTATATTTTAATTATTATTGAAATTATTGCTGAAACATTACTTATAATTTACATCGCATTTATGTACATCAATTTACTAATTAAAGATGTAAATTAATCTATGTATCTACATTATATTTTTTTAATATACTAGAGGCACAAATCATTGTGCATCATGTTAAATATTTAAAATAAGTTGTTTTAAAAATTATTATTTTTAAACAAAATGTAAAATTACAAACAAAAACAAATGCTAAACATAGATAT